AAAATATAAAAATTAACCAGGTGTGGTGGTGGTACATGACTGTAATCCCAGTTACTCGGGAGGCTAAGGCAGAATTGCTTGAACCCGGGAAGCAGAGGTTGCAGTGAGCCAAGATCTGCACTCCAGCCTGGGCAACAGAATGAGACTCTCTCTCAGAAAAAGAAAAAAAAATTAGAAGTCTCATTACTGTACAATCTAGCAATTCCACTTCAGGTTATATACTTAAAATAACTGAAACAGGGACTCAAGGAGGTATTTGTACACCAAAGAGGTATTTGTACATGGCAGCATTATTCACAATAGCCAAAAGATGGAAGCAACCCAAGCATTCATCGATGGATGAATGGATAAACCAAATGTGGTATGCATACAGTGGAATATTATTCAGAAGAAAAATTTGACAAATGCCACAACACAGATTAACCTGAACTCATTTATGCTGGAGGTTGCAATTTTTTGAATTTTTACAATCAGACCTTCGTGGTGACCTTGAGCAGTAGGGTATAAATAACTCCCACATGCTTAGCATTCCAATAATGGAACACTAGGCATAAATGGGTTAAGGACATTAGGCTGTGTGAAGTAAGCCAGTCACAAAAGGACAAATATTGTATAATTCTGCTTATATGAGGTACTTAGAATAATCAAATTTATAGAGACAAAGTAGAATGTTGGTTACCAGGGGTGGGTGGCAGGGGAGGGGGAGGGCAGGGGAATTGGGAGTTTGTTTAATGTGTACAGTTTCAATTTTGCAAGATGAAACAGCTGCACAATAGTATGAATATACTTCATGCCACTGAACTGCATGCTTAAAAGTGGTTAAAATGGGCTGTGTGCAGTGTTTTAGGCTTATAATAACAACGCTTTTGGAGGTCAAGGTGGGAGGATTGCTCAAGACCCAGAATTCTAGACCAGCCTGGGTAACAAAGCAAGGCCCCGTCTCTATAAAATTTAAAAAATTAGCAGAGTATGGTGGTGCATGCCTATAGTCCCAGCTACTTGGGAGGCTGAGGCAGAAAGATCCCTTAAGCTGGGGAGTTGAAGGCTATAGTGAGCCAAGATGACACCACCGCACTCCAGCATGGGTGACAGAGCATGACCCTGTCTAAAACAGCAACAACAAAAATTGGTTGGCTGGCGTGCAGTGGCTCATGCCTGAATTCCAGCACTTTGGGAGGCTGAGGCAGGCACATCCCTCGAGACCAGCCTGGGCATCGTGGCAAAACCCCATCTCTATAATAGTAATAATACAAAAATTAGCTGGGCATGGCGGTATGTGCCTGTAGTCCCAGTTACTTGAGAGGCTGAAGCAGGAGGATCACCTCAGGCCAGGAACATCAAGGCTATTGTGAACTGGGTTTGCACCACTGCACTCCAGCCTGGGTGACAGAGTGAAACCCTTACTCGAACAAAAAAATTGTTAAGATGGTAAATTTTATTATGTGTATTTCACTACAGTTGTTTTTGTTTTCTTTGTTGTTTTTGTTTTTGAGATGGAGTCTCGCTCTGTTGCCCAGGCTGGAGTACAGTGGTGTGATCTCAGCTCACTGCAACCTCTGCCTCCGAGATTCACATGATTCTCCTGCCTCAACTTCCCGAATAGCTGGGATTTCTGGTGCACACCACCATGTCTGGCTAATTTTTTTTTTTTTTTTT